GTCGTGAGCAGCGCTCGGCCATCGCCGGCCATCCCTGGGACGCTGGGGCGGCCTCACGCACTAGTTTTTCCATGGTGAAGAGCGGCCCCTTGCCTTGTCTTGCCCCCACGACAGACTGATACCACCCATCCACGCCTGCTTCCCCTCCGCCTCCCCCCCCCCCTGGGCTCCCCCTCCGCCCATCTCATGAGCCCCCACCTCGTCGTACATGACGATCAATGAGGCGGGCCACCCCGCCCGCAGCAGGCCCTCCACGCCGCGTGCCAGGGCAGACACCAGCTGCGGCGGCAGCGCCAGCTCAGCCGCAGACACCTGCACGGCGCAGCAACGCAGGGCCGCCGCAAAGTGCGAAAAAAACGGGCCGACTGCGCTGCCGCTCAGCTGGGCGGGGGCCGCAGGCTGGCAGTCGGCCCTGGGAGCTGCACGGGCCCCGCCGAACTGTTCTTCGCGTGTTGAGACAGCGTACTCGCCTGCGCCACTCCAGCGTGGTCGATCTGCCGCCGCAGGTCGGCTTTGCGGGCGCGCGGCAGCTTCACGGGGGCGGCCGCCGCCTTGGCCGCCGCGTTGTCACAGTGCAGCCCGGCGCCGGCCGCCGCCGCCAGGCGGCACCAGTAGGTGGGCTCCAGGAGGTCTGCCATCCGTTGCTGCGATGAGACCAGGCCGGGATCCCTGTGTGGCCGTCATGTGTAGTGTATGGGCAAAAGCTGCGACGGCATTCGCCGCAAGCGCTGCGGCGCAAGCAACTTGCAGAGCGGCCGGCGGCGTCATTGAGAGTTCACTCCCCGCTGCTTGCATGGACGCGTTGTGGTTTTTCACACCCGCAATATCCATTGCTCACCCTAGTGGGCGTGAGGGGTCCCATTCCGCCATGCCGCTGGGTTGTACGTACCGTATGATCTCGCACTACAGTAAGGCAGGTTTGCAATCAATGTGCTACATAAGTGTAATCAGCAGGAGATGGCGCACGGTGCAAGAACCTGCAAGAAGTGCGCGTATTGAAGTGCTTGACTAATGCTGACCTGCCTGTGCTCCCGTGGCTGAAGGAGGCCTGCTGAGAGCTGCTCATGCATGTCGTCCATCTGATCAGCCGCAGGCTTTGATGCTTGATTTGCGGCACAGCAGCCGTGTGTGGTCCCTGGCGCCGGTCCCCCTGCACACTTGGCCGCCTTGTGGCATGAGCACTTTGCATCGGTGCACACACGCGCTTGACCGCGGGGAAGGGAAGGGTTGTGCAGCCCGACGAGCACTTTGCCTGCTTCAGATGTACGAAAGGGGCTTGACTCAAAATGTCACGGCCTCGTCAGGAGACACGAAGGCTGGCAGCGTGGCAAAATGCCTCAGCCACTGGATTGCTGGCCGCTGAGGGATCAGGTCGTGGGATCAAACGGGGCACACCCCAATAGGCTGGGTGGTAGCCGTACGACTCCGTTGTAGTGTAAGAGCGTGCTGGCAAACACCTCCACTTGATGCTGCTGGTAGGTTGGGGCACCTGCTAGGGGTGTTTTGCTGGACAAGCACCAGATGCCAGCTGTGCACCGTGTTGAATATAGGATTTTGCAACCCCTTGATAAGAAAACTGAAGCTATCACGTCACTGTATTGCTGTTGCGTTGTAAGCTTGTCCTCTAGGATTACTTCGGTTGATGCCAGGAAGACATGCCTGCTGGCTCAGGTGTGGAGCGGGGGACATCAGTCCAGCGCAAGGCGGCCGATAACGCACGCTATCTCTGGCTGTATGGAACTATGATACGCATGCTAAGCTGCAAGAAACCACATGCTGCATTCTGGTTCAGGCAACATGTCCGAACCCAGAATCAGGGCGATTGTCCCGCCCAAGGCAGAACGCCCTGCCCAGCCAGATACCGTAGTACCGGTACAGTGACAGCCACTTCCAGCCGATGGTGCGATTGGTGTGTATGCCACATATGCACCCAACGTTTATATGCTCTCATTGTTCTCTGCAGCTGACTGCTTGTAGAATATCTTGTTGTTTCTGTTGCGGGAGCCCGCGTCGGGCTTGCAAGCATGCTAGTCCGCCCCTTAGCCCTTTTTGCTCGACAGTGGCCCCATGGCCGCAGTATTGCTACGTGAGCGCTTGCTGGCGTTGGCTGGGATCGGATGCGCCAGCACGGCGCGCTTTTTTGCGAGGCAGCCGCACCTTGCCCTGCGGCGGTGGCATCAGCGCCCGCAGCATCTCCTATGACCTTCCCCCCCTCCTCGTTTCTGTGGTGACAGAACCGGCCTCGCCTGCCTTCTGCTGGCGCACCATACCCCGGACGCGTGCCCGCCATTTGCACGCTCGCGCTCGGCACCCGCAACCATGGTGTCAACCACCTCTTGACCCGGACGCCGCCCCCGATGCCATCCACCCCCACGCGGCAGCTATGTGATATCGCGCGGCAGTGGCGCCGATCTTCAAGACCTGCTGGCTGCCCACAGCGGGGAAAGCAGCGGCGGCGCCGCCGCCGACGCGCGCGCGCCGTCGCTGCGCGAGACCGTCGCGCGCTGCAGCCAGCGGCTGACGCAGGGCCCCGACGGCCTCGCGGACGGCACGCCCGTCACCTACGAGCGCGCGCTCGAGGCCAGCTCGCAGGTGCGGCGCGGCGCGGGCGGCGGCTGGCAGCTGCCGCGGACGTGCACGCCTGTGCACGACAGGAGCAGGGCGCAGCTGCCTGCCGGATGATTTTGAGGAATGATCTAGACGAGTCTGGCCCGAGACACCCGCACCATATGATCCCACAACAGCGCCGCGGCCCCGCACGAATCTGTTTATGAGGACGGGCCACCAAGGCTCATGCCCGCGCCGCGCGCAAAGCCTGCCGCCCGACCGACCCCCCGCCCGCCCCCGCGCGGCCCCGCAGGCGCGCGTCATATCGGAGCCGCGGCCGCCGTTCCGCGTGGTGGCGGTCAGCCGCGAGTTTGAGCGGCTGTCGGGGTGGAGGGCCGCGGAGGTGCGCGGCCTGGCGCTGGCGGAGCTGCTGCAGGGGGGTGCGGCCGCCCCCGAGACGCTGCGCGGCATACGCAGCGCGGCAGCTACCTACGAGCGCGTCACGCTCGCCTGCGTCCACGCCAGGTGGGTGGCGAGAAAGAGGGTGCGGCGCGTCTGCTGCTGCCCCATGCACGGTGGCTTGCTTGACGCTGCCAACGCTTTTGGGGGAATGGGGCGTGCACCTGCTGGTATCCACAGCGCATTGACGCCCGAATGCGGGCCTACGGCGGCAGAGCCAGCCAGGGCCCCTCTCATGCACCCACACCCCCTCGACCTGCGTGTGCCACACGGCAACCACCCGCTAACGCAGGAAGGACGGGTCCGCGGTCCCCGCCCGCCTGGCCGTGTCCCCCCTGTTTGACGGGCACGGCCACGTCACCCACCTGCTGGGCGTGGTGACGCACCAGCAGGCCGGCGGCGAGGCGGCCGCGGGCGCGTGCCAGGAGCAGCAGCACACCCCAGTGGTGGCAGCGGCGCAGCAGGTGGGAGCCCACCACCTGACAGCAGAGCAGGGCGAGTAGCCCCTTATCTCTCTGAAAGGTTTCCGGCCGCCGCTCGCCATGCGCCCGGGCCGAGCCGCGGCGCCGTCGCCCGGCCGCAGCCTGGCCCTGTCCCAGCGGGGCGCGCTGCTGTGCGACGCGGTGCACGCAGCGATGCATGCGCCAGCACTGCACCCCCGGGCTGCTAGATTGAGCCGTTTGTGCTGCTTTCATGTCACACGGGAAGGGACCGTGAATGCAGAGGCGCCGCAAGGGCACCGCTGGCTGCTTGCGCCCACATCGTCGCCTGCTGCCCAAGGAATGTTTTGCCCAGTACAAGGCGCAAGCGCAGGTCTCCCTTGTGTCCTGTTTCCCCGTCAGCGCACCCGCTGCGTGTCGCCTCATCGCACGGCGCGCACCAGCGGCTGCGCTGTGGCGCTGCCTGGCCCCACCCAAACCCTGCTGCCAATTTCGGCCGCCTGTGTTTGCCGTTCAGCAGGCGGCCCCGCTCACTTGCATGTGTGGCAGGTGTCTCTCGGCTATCACGCAAGAAGTGACTGCCGCCCCCAATATATTCATGTTTCGTATTTTGCCAGGCCGCCAGCTTTGTCCGCTGTCCACAATTGGAGTTTTTGCACGCATTGCAAACGGCATCATCAGCACCGTGCATTGGGGGTCTACGCTCGGGCTTCCGCAGCCGCTTTGGCGCACTGGCGCGCTCCCATCCTGCCTGGCTGGCCAGCGGGCTGTGCAGCCTCGCTGTCTCCGTGCGGGAGCAGTGGCGCCGTGGTGGAGGGCCGGGCGCCCTTTGGGAGGGCCGGGCGCATTGTCATGTTGGGGGCGGTGTCGCACCTCGGCCTGACGGGCCGCACCCTCTGATCGTCCGCAGTTTTCAACTCGTCTCCGCCTCCTTCCCCTAGCGCTCCCCCGTACGTCTATTTTCTCATGCGCAGCCCCGCGGCCGTTTGTATTGGCCACAGGGCAACGCCGGCGTAGGAGACGGTTTAGCATCGGCAGTGCTCATAGCGTGGTTTGGCGAACGTTGTATGCCTGGTTCTGCCTGGGTTGCGCGGGGCCCTGTGGCAGCGTTGGTGGAAGGCCGCGCAGCGGCACAGTCAGGCGGCTGCTGGGCGAGCTGCCACGCTTCCAATTCATGGCCGTGGCGCAAGGGTGCGCCCTGCCGTGCTGCCCAGCGTCCAAGCCGGCGCTGCCTGCATCAGCGCGCACGCGCCGCCTGAGTCCAGGGCGGGCGAAGCGCAGGCGACAGCATGCGGGCCACTTCGTCCCTATCAGGCGCGCGGTGCTCGCGCCCATCGAATGTTGCGCGTCTCTGGTTGATTGTTGCTGGGCGCGGCCACGCACCAAGCTTGCCGTCGCTGTTGCCACACATGACTGATCATCCAAGACTGCTGCGAATGGTTTTGTGTGGCCGGCTGCCATCTGGTCGTGCGTTGCGCAGGCGTGCCTTGCTCGCACTGCTCTCACCTGTTGCACCTGTCGCCTGATTGTTTCCGCCCCCAGAGGCGTTGATGGGTGCGCTGCAGCATTGCAGTTGGTGAGCGCCGCAGCAAGTGTGTGTGTGTGTGTGTGTGTGTTTGCACGCGTGTGTGTGTGTGTGTGTGTGTGAGCATGTGTCTGCGTACTTGTGTGTGTGCCGTGCATTTGGGGCAACGCACTGCCACGGCTTTCCTAATTCCACTTCGGTTCAGTCTTGTAACAGACATGTGTCAGCCTTCCATGCAGGCAGTTGCAGCAAAACAGGCGGAATTTGTCTCACGCAAATGGGAAGCTTGAAAGCACATACGCAAATGTTTCAACCTTGAAAGTATCAAGATGGCAGGCTGTACAACCACACAAATACAGGTGTCATAAAGACCAGCATCCCGCACGCACTCTGCTGTCGAAACCGTGGGCGCGAGACCTCTCAGCGCCTCCGTTTAGTGCAGTGCAGGCTGCAACTTCAGGCGCCGCGGCCGCGGCAACCCACCCGCAGCCCCAGTCTGCACCTTGGCGCACCCATCAGCCCGCCACGGCCTGGCCCTCCCCCTCCGCCTCCTCCCCAAACACAAACGATGACGTCACGCACGTCCCCAGCATCACCCGCTCCGCCCGCCCCGCGTCCCCGCCGCCCGCCGCGGCGGCCACCAGCAGCGGCATGAGGTGCTCCTCCCGGGGGTGCGCCGCGCGCGCGCCGGGGGCGGACGCCCAGGAGGCCAGCGCGGCGGCGCGCGCGGCGCCGGTGCGCGCGGTGCACGCGTCAGCCAGCCAGTCGTCGAAATCCTGGGGGTTTCAGGTTTGAATTTTTGTGTGTGCGTGTGTGCGGGGGTGTGTGCGTGTGTGCGGGGGGGTGAGAAAGACATAGGTGTGCCACTGTTTGAGAGGGGAACGTCGGGATGTGCAGGGTGTGGGCCCGTGTTGAGCAGCCAGGTGGCGCGGCACAGGGCGCAGGGCGCAGGGCGCAGGGCGCAGGGCGCAGGGCGCAGGGCGCAGGGCGCAGGGCGCAGGG